ATAGGAAACCACAAAAATCTGTTAGTTCATAGATAATTTTTCATAAACATGTTCCCTGATAATCTACAAACTAAGACAACAATTACATGAATGGCATAAGGCAGATGAGAATATTTTATACATTTTCTACAAAACTCTGAAAGCTGCTGTGCACATTTTAAATTCACTGTTTTCTGGTATTTTATGTATTTTTGAGAATGTTGTGGTCAATAAATTATGGCCCTTCCATAAGTTCATAATCATTTTATTCCAAATGTACTTCTGATAGTTTTAATGAGAGAAAGGAATTTAGCACATTTTTCTGTAATCAAAACCAGGACAACTCAGCTTTACAGAGAGTAATAAAGTCTTTCCTGCATTAGGTAAAAGGTGTTTGCTGGGTGTCTGGAGTGGCTGTAAGAGAAACTTGATTGAGGAATCAAAAGACTGCAAGGCTTGACCAACCAAATTAAGTAGAGTCCATGATACGTAGTGTTTTTCTGATTGTGGGGAGCAATCCATGTTCTTCCTACTTCTGAAGATTGCACATCAGGTGCAAAGAAAGATAACGGAAAGAAGAAAAGAGGAAACTGGAAGATGGGTAGCCATATTTCGCTACACTAGGACCAATTCACCCAGAAATCATATTTATCGCTGTTGCTGCTCCTTGCCTCCTTCATCAGCCTACGTACATCTTATGCATTGTAGAAGTTGCTGTTATCTCTACTCTGTCCTACACAAAACAGCAGAGAGGTGGGAGGTTTTGCATGAGTTGCTATTTTGAGCTGAAAATCCCACACTCGTCTGCCGAGTTTGGGTTGTTTTCCACCCCTACCTCTTTTGAGGGACTTTTTGATTACTCCTGCCTCCTACCAAGAAAAACAAAACAAAACAAAAAACATGGTCACTCCTGGACTGGTGGAGGAAGGTGACAACTAGGAGAGATTTGAGCTGACAGTGTTGACCCTGCAGGGTTCAAGTGAAAGAGCTGAGCTACAACCTGTAGGTACAGGGGATATAACCTGCTCTCAAGCATGCTTCTACACCAGGGGTGCAGTAAGTGGGCTGAGTGGCTATTGGTTTTCTGAAAGGTCTCAGGGGAATCCCAGAGATCTGCAAGCCAGTAATGGTGACATACCACGCAATACCGAGACAGAGTGGGCCCATGGATAAATGTGGTGCACAAGAGAATAGTAAATGTGACGTTTATGAAAGGAAGTCACACCTCACTGCTAAGCTAGAGTTTACTGAGGAGTCAGTGAATATACAGACAGAGCAGAACCAAAATAACATAATCTCCTCGAATCTATAGGGGAGTTACAACTGAGTCTCACAGTGTAGCTACCAAAGAAGTTGAGTTGTTATAATAATAAGCAGTAAGAAAGTCCTCAAATAAATATGTAGCTATTTAAAGATAAGAAATAAGTGATAGGCATCAGTGTATGGGTTTTGCAATTAAGAGAGTTTAGTCATGAGAAGGCTTGCCTGAGGCATGTGATTTTAATGTAGCCATCAGAAATTTTGGAAACAGGGTGAATTGTGAAATAATGAAGTTTGCTGATGTACTAAGGTATTAAGGATACCTAAGAGGAGGTCCAGCTGCAGAGAACTATTAAAAGACTTCAAATTACTGAGTGACAAGGCAATAAAATGGCAGATAAAAATCAGTGCTGATAATTACAAAATTATGCACAAGAGAAAAGGCAATTTTCATTTTACATGCACAGTGACAGGCTCTAAATAAGCTGGTAATTCTAAGGAACGAGATTTCAGGATTATGGCAGCCAGCTCTGTAAAAACATCAATTTCTCTGCGTAGTGGTAAAAATGTCAAATAGAAAACTAGCGACTGTTAGAAAAGAACTGTCAGAAAACAGAAAACATCATTATGTCACAGTATGCTCGCAGCCTGGTGTGTAGCACTGGTTCCCTTTCTCAAAGGGGCCAAAAGGTGGGAGGAAAGAGGTCAGGTTGCTGAACACAGAGACTCTGCCTCTGCCTTGGGGAATATTTCTGCTGCAGACACATGGAGGTCCTGGGGCAGCATTGCTACCTACTGCCCTGTCCTTGCTCCTTATATATCACCAGCTACTGGCCATTGCTAACAGCTCTGCAGTGGATGCTGATCTCTGACCCAGCTGCTTTAAATGCATGTCTGTGCCTCCTTGCATGTGAGCAAGAGAGTAAGAAGGAGAAGACCAATGAGCTATGCAGGAATACAGAGCAGAAACAGAATAAATATACTGCAGAAGTGATGCATACACCACACAGACTTTCTGAGACAATGTTGTCTTTTATTACTATTATTATATATTATATATTATATGTATTATATACACATCTGTTAACTCTCTTTCTCAGTCTGCATAGCTGGAAAAAATTTACATCGACCTTCAGTAAAAATGTTCAACACTTCTGTAGTGTTTCTCATTGGAAAGATTTAGGCCAGCCAATAAGATTCATTTCACATTTAAATTTAGCTTAGCTGGAAATGCTTCCCTTACTTGGATAAAGTGAGGAATGATGCAAAGAGGAGATCCAGGACTTGTATTGGTATGAAATAAAATATGACAGGCTTTCATACTGAAAGTGATTCATCTCATTTGTATAGTACACACAACTGAGGGGGAAAATGTGCTCTAGTGGAGTCTGATTTTTATGCTGTTCTTCTCTAACACTATTACCACATTAATGGAGCAAAATGGGGAATTATTAGTTCAGCATTTTATCTTAAGCACCCTGTGGAAGTGCATCTCATGGACAAATTGGGTAGGGAAGGCTCAGGGGAAACAACTTGTCTGAATTACTATTAGTTGTGAGCTAACTGCAGTAGCACTGGTGAACCTCTGCAATATCTGGTGTCAGGTTTATCACAAAAGCTTTAAAGATGCCTTAAAAGGGAAAGAAAGAAAGAAGAAAGAAAGAAAGAAGTAAGAAAGAAAGAAAGAAGAAAGAAAGAAAGAAAAGAAAGAGAAAAAAAAGAAAGAAAGAAAGAAAGAAAGAAAATGAAGAAAGGAAAGAAAGAAAGAAAGAAAGAAAGAAAGAAAGCAAAAGAAAGAAAGGAAGAAGAGAAAAATGAAAGAAAGAAAGAAAGAAAGAAAGAAGAAAGAAAGAAAGAAAGCAAGAATAACGAAATAAGAACGATAGAAGGTAAAAAATAAGAAAGAAGTAAAAGAAATACACAGAGAAAAAAACTAAAAGAAAAGAGAAGATAAGAGAAAGAAGAGAAGAGAAGAGAGAAAGAGAGAATAGACGATAAGAAAAGAAAGAAAAAAGAAAGAAAATAGAAAAATATCCAGATAAAGACACGATAAGCCAAAAGACAGAAAAAAAAAAAGAAAAGACAAAACAAGAAATCAAATAAAAACACAAATCACATACAACGAAAAGAAAAGAAATAAAAAAATAAAGAAACTACAAAATACAAATAAAAGAAAAGACGATATAACTCAAAACAACCCACGACAAGACAACAAAACAGCAAAGAAAATCACACAGAAAGAAAAACAAAAAAGAAAAAAAGAAAAGAAAAGAAAAGAAAAGAAAACTATCGATATCTGGGTGAAAAAATATCTTTTGGCAGCTGCTACTCCATCTCCCAGTAGCTCATTGCCTCCCTCCATCTGTACCTGTGCTTCCCAGCTCTAAGGTGAGCTGTACGTCAAACCTGGGAAATTATGTGGCTGAGCAACAATGTCCCCCTCCAAAAAACTGCTATTTTGAGCCAGGTTTAATAGGTAGCAGCAGGAATAGGTAAGATGGCACAGCACAGAGGATGACATGTTTGTGTGCATGGGCATCTGAGGTAGGATGGATGGGCAAATGTTATTTCTGTTGGATGTATAGTAAGGGCCTTATCTGTTTTTCTGTGGACCCTATTGGCAAGGTGTGGAAGGATGCAGATGTTTCATTTTATAGTCCAATAAAACAGGAAACTTCCCTTTGAGCTCCTGACCATTCTGGCACTAAATTCCAAAAACTGAGTATTAATTTAATCAGGAGTCTCGAGCACAACCACTGTCTCACTGTTGGTGGCCAATGAACCTTTAACTTGTCCCTTCCCTTCCCCATAGAATCTTCTATTGCTGGCTTTGGTTCCTCAGAGGACAGCTATTCCCTTTCAAGCAATAGCTCATGAAACAGCACATACAGAGGACACACTGCCTATGTTAAACACATACTCAGGCTTCTCTTGCTTAGTCCAGGATCTGGAGAAATCCTGAAGCATTGCATTTCTTGCATGTCACATGCACATACATGGCTGTGATGAGTAGAAACAAGAACAGCTGTTTCTTTCAAAGTTAGTTCAAGTCTCCAGGACTACTGAGTCACTTTGTTATGACTATAAAATGAGGATACAAATGAAGGTGTCTTACCCCAGGGGAGACAGCTTGGCCCAAGGAAGTAGAAAAGCCTGCAACAGTTACAGCTAAGCCCACTGGGCTTACTGCACCTAAACCTTGGCCATGGCCAGGTGTTACTGATGGAATTTATGGATTCCGCTGATGTTCAGGGCAGATTGGAAGTCCCATGTCAGCAGGAATCCCAAAGAAAGTCTGTCCCATTCCCTGTCAGCCCAAGCAAGTCTACTCCCAGATTGTTTGTTTGGTAACCACCTGGGGACCTGAAAATTTGAAAGTCCCATGAACTGCCCTTCCCAAACCCTAGCCTCTGAGACAACTCAAAGCCTAAACAGCCCTAGGCCTTCGTCTTGTACCACTTGCAAAGAGCCCAGCAGATCAGCCGACTTCCATCTAGGCTCCGTATCTTTGAGTCTTTGACTTGCAGAGAAATTGAAAAGTGCTGTTTTTTGGTTTGCTTGTTTTGTTGTTTGTTTGTTTTGCTTGTGTTTTTTGTTGTTGTTGTTTTGTTTTGTTTTGTTTTTTTAATCAGAGTAACAACACATTTCAAATCATCAAAGCCTTCCTCGGAACAAAGTAATGTTTCTTCATCCAGAAGAAACAGAAGTTGAGGAACTGGAGGATTTTAGACCCCAGATAACTTCTGCCAAATTTCTTCAAACCCATTATCCATTCCCAAATCTTGGGCAGAAAGAAGGAAATTAAATGTGTTTTCATATGTCTTTACAGGGCCATTTTTGATGGCATCAAGCAAGATTAGAATTCTACTTTGCACAGAGATTCTGGTGAATAAATAAGCAAGCACATTTCATTAATCTATTTTTATTTGAAATCCAAAAATTTAAAAGCTTTCATTGTGAAATTCAAACATTTAAATAATATTTCAGTAGAAAAATACAGTCCTTAAGATAAAAACATCCATACTGCTACTTCCAAATAAATAAATTGACATCAGACACATTTAGATGATTCAATACAAAAAAAATAAAAAAAAAAAGACATTTTCATAATCAGTAAGTTGAAGTCAGTGCAATAGAGTTAGTCACATTTCCTGGAGTTGCCAAGTAGCCTGTCCTCTTAGTCATTTCAGTGCATAACAATAATTATCAGCAATAAATCACCAAAGCCCTGGTTCAGAAAAGTGCTTCAGCATTTTGCTCATCTCTAAGCATGTCTATTTGCTTGATTTGGATTTAGATATGCTTAGAGCTAAGCAGATATGCATGTGTTCTCCTGAGTACAGAAACTTTCCCGGCTTGGTGCCTCAAATAAGTGAAGGATGAGACTGATCAGGACAACACTACTTGGATACCTGGGTATCACGTCAGTTCAGTATTTCCATACGGAAACTTGGTAAACATCACCTCATTCTGTAATTTCAGACCAACAGACATGTAACAGATAGACAGAATTTTAAGACAAAATAATTTCTTACATAGCAGTAGGAGGTATAAATACTTTGATTGGTGTTTCTTTATAAATAATTATTTAAAATACTTAAATATTAATAAATAGATGTATAAAAAGCTCAATAAAAAGATTTTTAAAAATGTGCATCAAAAAAAAATGTAAAATAATTCAGTACAAAAGGCCGTATGATGTCATTAACATCTGCATCTCTTTGGAGACTGGCTCCTTTTCCTTTTGGAAGTCGAAGTCTCCACCAGTTTCTGTAAGACACTGAACAGCTCACTCACAGCCTTGCGTTGGATTTTCAAGCCAGTCAGCTGTTTTGAGTAAGAAAAAAACAGAACGAAGGTCACACCAAGAGCTATTATTATTTACAGATCACATCCTACAATCTATGCTGCTAATGAAGCAGATCAGAGAGGAACCAGCAGCTTTCAATTACTCTACCACCCAATTCCTGAAACAAAGAGCCACTTTTTCACATAATTTTTTTCTGCTTTCTTCATTACTTTGCAACATGTCGCAGACTGGCTGTGTGCTGTGCAATGGAGGCACTCTACGATTATTACTGTGTTGCAATGCCATCTGAGTTACCCACGAGCAGTCAGCTCAGCCAGGGCATCCGTATCAGCAGAGGTTGGTGGCTCACTCCGCTGACACCCACTGAGCCAGGTGGCCCCAGAACCGTCAGAGGCATGCTGTGTCCAGGCACAATTTTCCAACCCAATTTGTAATCATAAGGAGCTGGTGATGGTGCCTCTGCGCCAGATTCCAATGAGACTCGGGGTGGGCCGCCCCTGAGCTGATGCATGGCTGGAAACATCAAGTTTTCCAGCCCGAGCAGAGCCAGCCGAGGGTTACCAAATGGGTTACTAAACCATTACTGGCCTGAGTCAGACTTAAACTGAACTGGAAAATATAAAGTCACGAGTGCCTTGGAGGCAGGGAAAGAGCCTTACCTGAAGGTTTGACAGTTCCACGAGGTCTCTGAACTTCTTGTAGTCATTGGAAAGGGTATTTCTCAGAGTATTGAGCTGCTCAGATAAATTTTTGATGTGTGGCTTTGACATGTCAGTTTTCTTTAGCATTTCCAAGTACAGGGTAACAATCTGGCTCAGTATGATCCTTTTTTCATTTCTCTGTTGAAAAATACATTCAAAAAGAAAAGTTTGTGAGTGTCCATCGAGAGGAAAAAGAACGAAACTAAAATTCAGCATTTGGGGTTTCTCTCTGCCACTAGGGACAGGATGCCAAAGAAGATGCTGTAACTCATCTCCCGGGCTTACTGTAGCTCAGGACCAGCTGATGGTGCAGCACAAAGCACTTTGATCTTTATGAAGAGCATTTTAAGAGGGGAGTTGTTTTCTCATTTTCAAGCTTCTAAAGAAACCTCTGCTTTTGTTCGTTCTACCCTGTCTGGTTACACTGGTCTTGGAGCTGCTTTTTACCAAAAGTGCCCTACAACATGCCTGAGATACTTTGTCACATGAGGTTCTGACTTACCTCTGTCCAGTTTTTCACTTTCTCTATAAAAACAGGATTGCCATCAGCTACATCCGAATTACTTGCATTCTGCAACAGAGAACATACACATCTGTTATACATACAGCACTTATTACAAGGTAAATAGTGTTCTCCTCAAATGAGCAGTAAAAAACATAGACACGTAATTTTTGCACCGCTGGCCTATAACTACTACGGTGCTTTCACTTCTGGGCTTCTTTTCACTTCTGAGAGTATATTTTTCAAATATGTTCTCTAAGCACCTATTCACACTGGATGACTGCGTAGTAACAGAAACAGCATTAATCTGTTTTTAAATGTCTTCTCCTGCTATAAGTCATCTGAATAGAGACATTTAGCAGCGTATGTTTCACTAAATGCTCTATGCAAGTTTTGGTATTGACAACTGAAAATTAAACTTTATAAGCTCAGCGGCTGTCTAGGCAATTGTCAGACCTGGTCTTGCCATGTTTTCTGATAAGTTGAAATCCACTGGTCTGTGGGCTTGAATTTACCCAGTCTTAGTAAAATCTCATATGGAACAAAGGCAAATTAACCATACTATAAAACTACAGTTTGTAAAACCAGAGAATAGCTCAGTAGCCCACAGTCAGACGTGGGGATACATAGGGGTTGTGGGCTACCAAAAGGCTCGCAGGGTCTGAGTTTAACCATCAGGTGTTAGCCACACACTGTGGCAGATTCTAGGAAACAAAGAGCAATACAGTTCTCCTACAAAGGAAAGGCAAGTTGAATCATTTCCTTTTCTCTGTGTGTATTTTTTTTCCTTGTGTTTTTTTTTTTTTTTTCTTTTTGTATACAACAGTCACTATTTCCTTTTTTCTCTGCTTGGTAATTTAAATATAATGAGTGTAATGGGAAAGCTTGCAGGCTGACAGAAAACTCGTAGGCTGATTGGCTCCCCACACCAAACACCTTGCCGAGCCTTGGTTTGCACTTCTGAAAGGTGGTGAGCACCTGCTGCAGACTGCAGTTTTAATTTCTCTGCAAGAAGCTTACCACCGCTCAGGATCTCTCGGACAGAGTTATTTATATTCTACCGAGAACCTCTTTGATCTATGCTAATGAAAAATGTAAGATATAAATCAAAATGCTGAAAAATCAGAGCTGGAAATAGGAGAAAATTCTTGCAGTTAATTTCATGTGTTTAAAAAATATGTATGTATATATTATATATATATATATGTATATATATATATATATACATATATATATGAAGAATAAATGCTGTTAACTGTTAACTAGAAGTGACTTTGTTGTAGATCCCTTATCTGTGTGACTAATCCCAGCTAAAATTAGTTGTGGTCTATTTTAATGCCTCCTGGATTGAGACAATTGAATCGATATTACAATTAAGTTATCAAATTTCTGTCTGAAAAGAAGTAATATCACTTAACATTCCCACACCAGATCAGTCAGAGATATGGAAACAGGATGGCTAGAGGATGCCAAAGAATAAGCAGCAGTGACCAACCTTGGGCAACATATTATTGATAGTAACAAAAACCACAAGATGCTTCTGTTAAAGTAAAACATTTTGCTTATATTGCAACTAATAATAAATCCTCTGTTAACTAAGCTAAAACTAATTCAGTGTCAGTAAACTGTAGCTGAATAGAATTGAATCAAGGTTCATTCATTCATATTAAATTGCATTAAGATTTTTTTGTTATAAAATATTCCATGAAATCAAAAGCCAAATGGAGCTGGTAGAAGCTCTTGTGAAAGGTGGAGTGCCACTGAAATAAATGCAAACTACTAAAATCATTATTGAAAAACTGAACCATATTAGTGAATGAATAAAAGCTGGCAAAGCCAAAGAAATTGTTCATATTCTGTTTAAAAAAAAAAAAAAAATGTAACAAACATTAGTTCTATGATCCCTATTGGTACACATTGAGGTTTATGACAAGCAGTGCTCAAATCTGGATCTACAGCACAAGCAGAAGAAGAGAAATGCAGTAGAAGACTGTACTTACAAAATCAGCTTTCAGTTTGTCTATGTCATTTTGAAGTTGACCTAGAAATAAAGCACTTCCAGAACATCCAAAATAAATCATGATGACAGAGAGAACAAACAAGCAGTAGGTCTGGCAAGTCATTTTCTTGGTGATAGTTCAGTTAATATGCTCAGGTAACTTCTGGGAGATGTCAGATCTAAGAGTAATGAGCTTCAACTTCTAATAGTTGTATCTTCTATTAGAAGAAAGTAGATGAGTGAACTTCATCTGGCTGTCAGTGGTATTTATACCTGGTCTTGAATTTTTTTATTTCGTCATCACAGGCTGTGTATATTTAGCCAAGATAGTGTCAGATAAGACTTCGCTTTTGGCTAGTCGAGGGAATCCCTCGAAAGCATCTTTCTTAAAGTATGGTCCTGGAAAATTTTTCAGTGGTTCGTCAGAGGGTAACATTTACGTGACAGTTCTGAATTTTCTTTTACACGTGGTTGGGGAAAAGGAGGAAATTATGGTACGGGTTAAAGAGTATCCATTGTGGCTCAGGCATATTCTTACAAGCTATCTGAAAAATCATATCATGTGGTTAAGGGGTCAATATAACAGCCAACTCATTTCCGGCATTCTTTTAAAGTAACCACTGATACTAACATGGTATACTTCAGAGTCACTTAAAAATTTATATCTCTTTACCACTGTCCTTTTGTGAAAAACTATTTGCATTGTTTCCATGGTCTAAAGTGTATTTTTTGTCTGTCTCAATATTCATCTCCAGATTCACACTAAGCTTGAGGAAAATTAGGTTCTATCAAGGATACAATGATGCATCATATTAAATATCTCCATAGTTTCCTACTATCTGCAAAAGTAGAATACTTGCTACTCAGGACACTCATCTGTGTTTGACAATAATTAAAGTTCCCCGCCTGCACATTCATTTGCACTTGTGCACATGAAGTACGAAAACAGAAGGACATGATTAAAAAAAAAAAAATCAAAGCAGGCAGACAGGGTGGTATCCAGGTGTACACAGGCCACTACAACAACTATGTTGAGGTAGCTGTGGAAGAGGTTCCTGTGTAATAATTGAACTCTGCTTTGATGAATATCAAGGGAAAAAAGCTCACTGTGCAGACCTGTATAAAGAAATCAGAGTAATTTTAGGCTGTAGTATATAAGTACAGGGTAGGAAGGAGACTCATAAGGGGAAGAAAAAGGAACCCACAGGAAAAAAGAAAATAGAGGGGGTCAGGCAGAGGGTAGATGTGGGCTCAGTTCACACAGTGTACAGTGGACAATGTCTGTAGCCCATTAGAAACATATGAGAATCAAACAGGTCTCCAACACCTATGGCTTGAGCTCTCCAGCTCCTGGATGGGTCATCAAGTGTTCTTTGCCAGAAGCCGTCTCCTTCCTCAGCAGCATATCCAGCCTCAAGAAATGACCAGTAACTCTATCAACAGTTTTTCATCTGCAGCTTGAAAGAGGACCTTCATCTAGAAACTGGGTCTAGACTGCTACTACCACTGCAAAAGTGGAATTGCCATTTTGCAGAGACTAGAACCAAATCCCAACAGCAGTCACAGGCCCAAAAACTACATGCAAAACTCCCTGGGAACAGCAGCATACCCAGATGGCACATGCCTCACAACAGGGGCAGTACTGTACAAGTGTTATGACTGTAAGTGTACTTGGGGTAGTAATGCTATGCAATGTCTTTATTGGTTTTAACTTGAGAAATTAAAACTGTGTAAACAATGACCCATTTGCTGGAATTATTGCCTTGGAAGTGAGATGATAATGCTAATCAAGGCTATTCAATGATGCTTCAAAGCACTGCAAAGAAGTAATCACATCAAAAATACAAAGTTGCTTCACAGGTGTACAAGGCAATAATAATACCAGCCTATCTGTGATGTGAAAATATCTGTATTGCTTTTCAAGGCAAGCACAGTCAAAAGGCATGTTGTGGCACAGTTAAACATAGGTTCATACATACAGGAAAACCAAGAAAAATTTACAAGGTGAGAGATGTGCTGAAAGGCATCAACTGGCCATGAGCCGATGGAGTGATTCTTTGGCAAAATGTTGGAAAGGAAAAGTCAAGTGGCATATGGAAAGCGATTCCTGTTACATATGGCTCTCTTTAAGCTGTCAGAAATATACAGCTGGAAGAGGGACTGGGTCATCAAATCCTTCTTTTTTTTTTTTTTTTCTTGTATCCTAATTTGAGCAATGGTTTTCCATTGGATTACTAGAGAACGTGCAAAGAAGTGTTGCTAGGGTGGTAAACAGTTTGGAACAGTTATTTACTCAAATTACAATACAACTGTATGCGATCAATTGCTGTAATTATCCAACCAGGCAGAAGATTCCAGGAGATGGAAATTGATGTCAGTAATCCTGGCTTCTTCTGCAGAGAACTATTTATCATGTGCCAGGCTAGACTGACTTTTTAAACCTATCAGACATGCCTCTTTCATCCACAGGAGGCTGTATATCTCAGGTCACCTCCATTTGATCTCATCACCTTTCTGAGGAGGCCACTATCAACCATCTAATTTTTCAGGTAAGAAAATGGAAGCACAGCACAATTCTTGATCATTCAGCATCTAGGAAAGGCAAATCTAGGAACACAAACAACATCCCCCAGTCCAGTCTTTTGCCCACTAATCATCACTAAAAGTATTATATATTAAAATGAGGCAAGGAATTAAGAAAATAGTAAAGAAGAAAGCCATGACATCTGGCTTTGTCATATTATCTTCCGAGTGCAGCTCTGACTTCCAGATACCTCTTCTGACTATCAAGGTTATATTTCTGTTTCAGTACTTCTATGCATCACCATATTTAAAAGGGCGAATGCTCTGTGGCCAATTCATCATCTGGTTGCAGGGCAGAAAATGAATCCTAATATAAAAATACATAATCCTTTTTCTAAATTTTTTACATTTGAATAAGTGGTGCCATGTTAAAATTGACATAATTGCCTTGTAGCATTCTCTTCTACTAACGCATGTCATCACGTCTCTCCAAATCATATTGGAACAAGTCAACAGCCTACAGCAGGTGGTCAGAATGTAAGGACCCTCAAGGCCCAGGGATCTTGCCAGCTCCCAACCCTGTTTTGCTTCCCATTCCCAGCAAAAGTGTTCCATTGTCCCGTGTACGCCTTGTTGCCCAAAAAGAGTGATCAGTCAAGTGGGAAGGAAGACTCAAGTTCAGATAGCTCCTATGGATTGGCTTTCCAGAGCATAAGTTCCAGAGATATCCTGCAAATATCTCCCCTTTTCTAGACTGACCCAAGGGCCTAAAAGCATCCAATCTTTTTTCCGTCTTTCTTACGACAGATATACCAAGCATGCTGGATGGGACTGAATGTTTACCACTAATACAAGCTCTTTGCCTGAGTACTAGTCCTAATCTAGCAAAAAAAGAGGTGCGAGAACGGTATTGAAAAGTCTTGTGCCACATATAATTGGAGTGGTCCTTGTGTGTGGCTTGACAGTCGGAGCTGGACTCTCATCTGTTCCAAAAGCAGTAGGAAATGAAACCAAGGTGTTTTTTCATTTTGCTGCCTGGAAGTCATCTGACTCTTCATGTAAAGTAGAGGTTTCACACCCTTTTGTTCAGGCAATGTGTTACACCAATTACCCAATGATGTCCTTGCAAAGTCATGTCAGATTTCACTATGACCACTGACTAAAGATTTTTCCCTTTCATTTTTTATTTTATGTGAAATCCTAAGAGTGCTGGCTGAGTGGTTAACAAGGAACTTCATTTACCAGTCCAGCAGATCTCTGCCAGACTTTCGTTTCTCTAAAACTCAGTGTCTGTTTCTGTTACCACTGCACAAGGAAAGCAGCCCAGAGTTGGAAATCCCTGCCTGAGCTGTATTTCTGACCTTGCATAACACTTCACCTCTTAGCTTTACTTCCTTATGAAGCAGGAAAATTTTCCTTCTTTTCTTCCTCCACAATAATGAGGGTATTATTTTGGGAATTCTACAAATATATTTTCCTCTGGAAAAATTATGATCTTTTTAAAAGAAACTTTTCATTGAATAGAATTGACTTCATAAATTTTCTTTATTATTTTGAGGTGGAGAGTAAGTTCTGAAATTCTCAAAATTATTTCTTTTGGCATTTTCTAAACAAAATATTCTACCTTGCCCATTCAAAGCACTTTTTGGAAATTTTGTTGTTTGGAGAAAACTAGAAAAGCAGTTTGTACTGACCTGAAATACCACACAAGAAAGACCCTTTGGCCTCTATTACATCATCCTATTTGCACAAAAAAATGGCAATAGATAGATCCCTCTTTCCTTGACAATATTATAGATCCTTCTTTCCTTTCACAAAGTTTCTCACATACATTAGCTGATGAGTCTTCCAAAGAAAGGGAAGGCAGAGAAAACTAACACCCCATGGTGATAGATATCCAGAGAGAGAGATATTGAGACTAATAATTAACTGGTGGATACAACTTTAAGTGATCAGAGTGTAAATTAAAAATATTAGAAACATGGTACATTGACTGACACAAGACATTTGTTTCACACTTCCCTTCAGAATTTCAATTTGGTAACCCCACGTGGGATGGAAAAATTTTTATGAGATGGGAGAGCCTTTCCCCACAAAACACTAGTGATTACTTTCTGAATTAGTAAGAGGAAATAACTGTCCCCTCATGGTCTGAGTACTCATCCACCATTTAAGAAGAGGAGTTCAAGCTTTTGTCTTGCCTGGGTTTTGATTTGAACACATATCTTCTTTTCCCTGGGTAAGGTTCCCTGTCATCTGTGAATACTTGTTCAGGGCTGGCCTTCCTCACACTCTGCTGTGGACTTTTTGACCACTCCTAATTGTACATCAGCTCTACAATGCCTAGAGACCCCAGCAATAGCTTAAGGTGAATATTCAGCACTTACATTTAAATAATAGTCTGTAGCATATAGAGCTGACAATAAATATTTGTCTCAGAACATCTGTCACCATTAACAGCAGTTAATGTTCCTGTTCATAAAAGTGAGCACAAAGCTACTTCCCTTCCCTTTCTTTGAAAGTCTGTTGAACTGATAAGTATAAGGAATTCTGAGGCTGGAAAGAAAAACATAAAACATAAGTTGTTTCACTGTTGATTGTGCACGGATAGCAATATATAATGGAACCTGAAGGGTCTCTGTTCCTTGTTTTGTATTTCAGATTGGTACAAATTGTTTTCCAGCTCTCCAGAAAAACACAGTCTGCATGTATGCATTAAGATATTGTGAGACCAGTGAGAGATAGCATAAGAAAGGCAGTTGCAATCCTAAAATATGTTTTTTCTTGTAGTAAATTGTGGGAAATGATAATGACATTGTAGAAGACCATGATGGAGAAATGGCCCGTGTTTTTACTTTATACTTCTACAGTTGGAGTATTTTAACAAACTGACCTCCTAATTATAATCTGTTTCCCATTAAATAAAAGAAATCTTCAAATCTTCTTCAATTTAAGTTAAATACTTTTGAGCATAGATACGCTTTTCCATGTCAGTGTTTTCCATGTTCAAGTGTTGGCTGGCATTGCATAAAATACCTCCTATGCTATAACCACAGAATACCTATGGGTTTTTCTGCATGAAACGTTTCATTTTCATCAGCTCTTCTTCATTCTTCCAAGAAGAATGAAGCATTTAGTCTTGAAAGTTTTCTGTTGTCAGCACCAATATATCCTCTGGAGATTCAGCCAGTTCTGAGCATTAGATCATGAATCTCACAGTATTTGTTTCCTTTCTAAAGCCTAAACGTCTTTCGTGATGTGATTTTTTGAATCTCAGTGTTTATTTTAGAGATTTGGGGTCGGAATTTTTTTCTAAGCACTTTTTAATTGTCATGGTTGCAAGGAAAGTATTGAAAACAATAATTTCTAAAAGCATAGTAAGTCCAATAGAAAAACTTACTATTTAAATGTAATTGTTTTCAGGTTCTTCCTAAGGAGTTTTGAATATTTCCATCTAGGTTTCATAAGCAGCAATGACACCTACAACATGAATGTTGCTGATTTTTAATGCTAACCATGAATATTATCAATTGAATGCTATCAATTCAACCTACTGACTTCAGATAAGGTACTTTGCACCTTACTGTTTTTAAAGTTTTCTATAAAATGAAGATGCATTTTATAAATATAGTTCTTCCCAAAATGATATTTCAAGGCGTTCTAGCTCTTCCATAATACCTCTGCTTGCTCTCTGTAAGACCAGCAGTCTAGTATTTCCATTAGCTTTTCCACAAATAGTTGTAAGGTAACATTTTTATTCACTTTAAGAAAACAAATTCATTAAGAAACAAATTCCAATGTAATTTGGCTTTACTTTATACTCGAGTTCCAACTTCCTGTTACTTCCCATGAATATATGTCTTTGCTGTACATTAATATACAATAATAATAAAAATTTGCTCACAGTGTCTTTCTCAGCAAATGGGAGCGTGTTTTCTTCTATATACGATCTCTTCATCCAGAGAAACCTCTGTCATTTTTAGAGACCACTATTTATTCAGTTTCACTTTCTTAGGACCTTAGGTCCACATTCAATAGAAGCCAAAATGTCATCTGAACTTCCGCATCCTGGTATCTGTCATAGTACCTCATGACACCTTTTCAAAAGGACTGTGTTATTTTTAAAGAGAGAAGGCCAAATTAAACTAGACTTTGATCAGCTGTCAGTTAGTTGTTGTATGCGTTGAGTGAATACAGTTAGGGGTGTCCATCAACCTCATCAGGATCCAGCTTGCAATACCTCCAAAATTGCAGGGACTCTGCCAGAAGTTCATTGCAGACTGATCGGGGGGCTTTGATTTCGTGTTAACAACCCAGTACTTACCACACATTCTCAATATGATATCCCAATAGTGCTTTTCAGACTTACCACTGATTGGTGAGCCAGCTCCATTCATCTTCCTCCCATTATGTTTATTGAATTTTCTCCGCGTATCAGTTTTTGTGACTCATTCCTTCTTCTTATGTTGATTGTCTGTGTCGCTGGCTTTTATTTTCAGTGGATTTTTTTGCTTTAGTTTTTAACAAAAAATTAAATTGCCATTCAAGTGCTTATTGTACAGTCACATTTGTTTTCCCAGCTTAAGTACCTTTCTCACACAGACACTGACATTTATTGTGTGAAAATAACGTGCATATTTAAATTTGAAGGAAAACACTAATGAAAGCAACCCTGTTATTCCTTAATTTCTTACTGAAATATGTTGAAATATGAGCAATTTGAGGGAAAATCTGGTGATTTTCATGTTATCTGTTACATTGTTTGCAATAATCAAATAACTCATATGTATATGGAAGCATTAGTGTGCAGGTGTGGGCACATATTGAAAGTTAATGATCCGTTTCAAACATAAGAAAAAAAATCCATGAAATATTTCAAATCAGCTTACGGAGTGGACATTTTTTGTCATAACTTTTTAGAAATGTCCACAGGAGGTTTTCTAGCCAAAATCTGATGTGTGATGTAATCCTTTCTTCTAAAACAACCCAGGAGATAGTTTGGTGGGGATTCCCCTTGCCCGCCATACTCTTTAGTGCCATTCATAATTGTGTGACTAAGCAAACCAGTCAACTTTACTCACAGAAAAAAAAAAAAAAAAAAATGGAATGATGATTTGGTCCTACCTGTTTCTGTCCTGCCTTCAGAACACTTATGAGGACACCAGAAAATCAAATGTACAAGCAATCCATCCACAGATGACATTTTACTTAGAAATAGACTTCTTGAGAGCGATTTAGTTGCAAAGAGTTTCGAGTTAGATTTAAAATTTAAAGTCAAAGGAGAAATATGCAAGACCTTTGCTCTTTAGGAGTTAAAAAATAAACTAAAGAAATTTTTCACACCCTTAGTGCATTTCCTCTTCATCTCCACAGGAAATAAGACTACCTCTAGATGCTACTGTGGGTCGAGTGTAGAGGCACTTTATTTTAAAGTCACATATCTTCTTTTTTCAAAGACCTGGACTAACTTCTATAAAGTGCTTTGAATTGACATCCTCTAATCAGCATTAGGAGATGTGAAGATTTAACTAGCAAATATGCTAATAATAAATATTTGAAAGAGAAATTAGATAATTAAGATTCTGTTGCTTTTTGAAGTTGCTAGTAAGTCTCTACCCAGAAGCTAAAATAAATGAAGATTTGTAAAAGACAATAAAACAAAAAGTTGTAGGAGAAGAACAAAATGCAATCCCAAGTATCATGCTTTAAAATAATCAAAATGCAAGTATCGTAGCAGATTGGCTTGCTAATCTTTTTTTTCCTAAGGAAATGAAACTTCTGCAGTTTCTCTCACTGTCAGTTCCTTCCCCTTCAGTAATTTTTGAACCAAGTCAGCAATTTTATCCAAATCTGAGAAGGAGTAAGAAGATTCACAGCTAATTTATCCCCTGACACTTTCATTAAAATTGACAGCTAAGCATCAGCAAGATTGTTCTACTAATCATGGACCACAAGCTGGTATTTTAAAGTGTCTGTATGAGTTGAATACTGTAAAGAGAGGAATAGCTTTCCTTATAGAGCTATTTGATTGTTGTGAAATCATATTCATTACAACAATTATTCAATGATATATTAACATCTAGGAAAGCCTATGTGGTGGTTATGAAAAGCTTCCAAAACATATGAAGAAGACGTATGAAAAGAACTTTACCCTCCCACATAAGATAATCTTATTGTTTCATATTAATGCGTACAGGACTCTGGGCTCTTACTTCATTCTTCTTTTCCCCTTTTGCCACATCTGCCTATTCTGTGTTTGTCATCGAATCATAGGCTATCTCGAGTCAGGAAGGACCGACAAGGATCACTGAGTCCAACTCCTGGCTCCACACAGGGATACCTAAAAATTAAAACATAAGTCTTTCTGTGCAGCAAAATAAAAGGAGAGACTTTAGCATGTGCTAGCATAGCTAAAGCTGTCTTATTTTAATCAGGCTAGTATGGATGTGAGTAGCAGAGGAACTATGATACACCAGGCTTCAGCTGTCGTGTACTATTACTCCATATACACAAGCAAAGAACATCCATCCTCTCAAAGTTTTGCAAAACTATATATATATACAAGTTGAATTTAAATTTTGAAGGGCACAGAGTGCAGGTACATCAACTCTTGTTCTCATTAGCACACATCAAATGTTCTCCCCATTCCATTGGACGTTTTTCCTTTGTAAAATCAACAAGTCTACATGGATAGATGCTTCAAAAATGCCAAAAGAAGTTTCAGATTAGCCAATTGTTTTTCTCCTCTCATTTAAAGTATAACAGCATATCAGTGAGTGCTTCTACTTTAGTGTGCTATTTATACTACACATAGGAGGTTAAAACCAGTCTCCTGATCAACCCTGCTCACCGCAACTAGGGTTGCGCTGAAACCCTGTCTCGGAGCCTGCAAAACCGAATTCTTTTCAGATAAAATAAAACTAGAAGACGTTCTTAGAAACTCACTTGATGTACCTCAATTGCTAATGGGATTCCAGCCACAGGACCAGATTACAGCTGGTTCAAAACTCAAAACAAATCAGTGCAGCAGCTGGGTCCTCAACATCAGGTTAATTGACTTACAGATCTGCTCCTATAGCATTGCTCCTTTTGATAATGCAGATAAAATATGTCTTTCAGCAATGTCTGATGTCTTATTTGAATTGTTTAAGTGCCAGCATTGAACGTTCTAAGCACTGGGAAGCAGGAAATTAAAATGTTTCTATAATAGATCCTTAACCAGAATAATCATTCTCAATGAGACAGACAGGTGTACAGAAAGGAATACTTATGGGAAAAGTGATTAAATATCTAAGAGTAATCATGAATCTTCTCATTTGTGGACACACACAGAAACCTATCTAAAAATAAATAAAATTACAATCACTGTCACTGCATCTTGAATTACACTCACAAGAGGCTATAGGATGTCATTGCTTCCAAGGGAGTCTGTGCAGGAACAGTATGTCAAAGAGCCAGTGATAATAGAGTATTGATTAGCTGAAGAAAGAATTGATTCATGTTGGTTTTCTAGTCCTCTTGAATTACATGATTATGCTTTGTTGGGATTTGCAGTTTTAGGAAGTCTTAGAGTAACTCCAGAAAAGCAGTAGAACTCACAAAAAAGAAATAGTGAAGCAGCAGTCATGCCTGGAGCACAGACAACAAAGTTTAGGAAAAGCAGATGTAAAGAAAGAGGTGATGAAGAAATTTTGTATGCCACTGAAGGAAATAATTGTCAAAAAGTCTGAAGGAAAATCACAGAGAAAACAAAATGGGCCTAGGTAAAATATCTTAGTAAAAGACATTCTTTTGGACTCATGAAAGGTGTCCACCTTCCAAGACCATGGCTGTATAAAGATAAAATACAATCAAATTGAATATGACTAACAAGGTAAATACTACTGGGAAATGTATCATCATAGGAGATCTTAATTTTCTGATTAAAGACAGGATGTTTTTACATGAGCTATAACTTTACAGTTACATGATAATATTTTCATTTCAAAGAGAAACATTTTGAGAAGTTAGTGAAACTAATTACAGTATCTGAAGGGAAGGTGAATATGAAGCAAAACTGGAGTTTCTGAAAGTCAGATGTGCACAATTGTTTAGAGTTTAGCTCAGAGCTAAAAAAGAAAAATATGACGAAATGGAGTCTAGCTTTACTGAAGAGGACCTGGAAAGAGGTTCAGATGGATAACTGAACATAAGTGGACATTGCATCCTTGAGCGGTGTAGGCAAAATGTACCCTGAGTAAAAGCATCATCAAAAGTACAATCAGCAGGTCATGGGATGTAATCTCCCACTCTACTTGGCACTTGTCAGGCCACTTCTAGTTCAATGAACCCAGTTTTGCTTCCCACAGCTTAAGAGATACACTGAAAAACAAGAGATCACTGATGTGACCAGACGGTTAGAGATCATTAGTTATGAAAAAGGATGGAAGGAATTGGGTTTGTCCAGCTATAAGGTCAGAAAGCTCAGGAGTACCTAACCACAGCCTTCCACTACCCAGAAGCTGGCTACAGAGAAGACAGAGGTACTCTGTTCACAGAGATGCATGGTGATGGAGCAAGTCAACAGGCAGGAGTTGCTTGAAGGGGATCTTCACCATGAGAACAATTTAGCCGAATAGTAGATTGCCCAAAAAAGTGACGGAATCTGTCTTCAAATATTCAGGTTGCCTCATGACAGGACTCTTTATAATCTAACACTAGACCTTGCTTTCAGCAGCAGGTTGGACTGCATATCTCCAGTGCTCCCTTCCAACTTGGTCTTTTCCATGATCCTATTGCAATGAGAGCAAGCAAGCTAACCACCTCTTAAAAAATAGCAGAAACATATCAGAGACTCGAGGGACGGAAAGATGTACTGATCAGCAGTGATAACTGCGTCTTAAAACTTAACAAATGCACAACAAACCAGTTCATGTTAAGGCATCAGTATAAAAACAGTAAAATATGCCTTCATCGTGTAATCAAGAGGAACATAAGGAAAAAAGTGAGGCTGGCACAGGTTGAGGTTAAAGCTATGCTGCATGATTGTGTACAGCGAAGCCCAAAAATTAAGTGGACAATTTAACTCAATTTTTAATACAGTCAGGGATGTTAAAAAGTGAAGGTAGTATGTGAGCAATGTGATTTTGAGAGCTGCTGACATAGAAGAAAAATCAGGATGACTGATAGTGACAGGAATGAAACTCTCCTCTAAGGCAAAAGCAAGAATGTGTAGTTAAAGGTTCTCTAATCAGAGAAACAACCTGAATAAATGGGCATATAAAAATGCAACTAAAGTAAGGAGAAAATTTCATCAATCTATCAAACGAGTGATAGTGCTGTCAGATTGGAGAACAGCAAATATAACGGCTGTGATTAAGAGAAATAACAAGGAAGGTACATAAAGACATATTATCTGATGACAGTGATGTGCAAGGCTTTGGAACAAATTATGAAAAAATCAATATTATTACAGACAAGTAAATGTAAGGAAAAAAAATGCAGCCTGGGTTCATCAAAGGCAAACTGAACCAAGAGGGACTTGATTTAGTTGAGAATTAGATTAATAAAATTGGGAGAAATATGATTATACAAACACCAGACCTGGTGTGTGGGTTCTAGTCAGGAAAAGGTGGAACAGGACCTTGCGGAGGAGAACAATCTCAGTGTTGTGCTGCTTATAACAGGAACCATAGAGGCAATGCTGTGACGGAAATGGATGTTGTGAGGATCAATTGTACAAGGTATCTCCAGGCAAGGGAGGAAGATAGTAATGCTAACAACTGGGGTTAGCCCTGTGCTTTAAAGATGAGTTCAAAGTAGAAATGATCCAGAAAACAAGTAGTGATCTCCTGTATTACAGAAGTCTACAAGAGTTTGGCTTGTTCAACTATAGAACGGCAAATGCTGAGAGAAGTAATTGTTACTTGAACTATATTACAGTAGAAAAATCATGAATTCACTAAGTCATGTAAGCTAACAGAATAATTTGTACTGGAAGAAATAGCCATAAGCTGGCCACATGCAAATTTAGACCAAAAGATGGAAGATTTCTGGCAATCTGAACGTGAGATTCTGGAACAGCCTTCCCAAAAGAACAAGAAAGGATTCTTAGCTATAAAACTTCCTGAGTGTTTTGTCTGCCTTCTTCAAAACAACTTATTCTACCCTTGAGCCCAGTATCTTGTGCTTACAAAATAAATAAATAAATAAATAAATAAATAAATAAATAAAATAAAATCCATTGTACTGTCTTTAAAGTAATAATTTAAACAATCGGTCTGGTGAGGAGCTGTCTTATTGTTAGTTCCAGGCAAACTGGATTTCCTGATTTTAGTAAAAACAAGTAAATGTATGTAGTGCTTTCTTCTGTTTGACTGG